ACATTAGGCTCTAAAATACGACAATTTTTACCTAATTGGGTGCTAGAATATCATGTACCTCATGTTGCAATTAATGCACTGCTGCAAAATTTGATATCTTGTGGGGTATCAGGATTACCTAAAGACAGTATAGAACATTAATAGGTACTCCTAGAACAGTATATGTATTGAAAAAATGGGTAATGGATACTTTTGGTACCATGGATTGGAGAATTGCTTATCTAGCATTGAAAATTATATTGGCAAAAATGAGTTGAACAAGCTCAATTTAAGCTTCAATATAGATGGATTGCCCATTGCAAATAGTTCTAAATATCAGTTCTGGCCAGTATTAGTTAATGTGACAAATGTTGATGAATTTGCTCCACAAATAGTAGCAATATTCTCTGGGGACAGTAAGCCTCCATCTGTGGGAGAGTACTTACAAAAGTTTGTTGATGAACTTCAGAAGCTCTTGCAGTTTGGTATTCATGTCGACAGTATTAAGTTTTCAATAAAAATTGATAATTCTATCTGTGACACTCCAGCCCGCAGCTTTATGAAAGGCCGATTCATGCAACGTTCATTATAATTACATTCACATTACATTTTAATTATATTATATTTATATTCTCACTGCAAAATGGTACCCGTTCATGCAACGAATTAATTATCTATTTTCGGATATGTGCGCATGCGTAGTTGCTGACAAAATTGACAAATGACGTACCTAGTGATGTTTGAGTTGAGGTTAGTTTTTCCCACTTTTTAAACTTTTGTAGGTATACAATTTTTGTGTTGTTCTGGTTGTTAATGAGTCGAATATTATGAGGCTCTCGCGGAAAAAACGAGTTGGATTTTTGATGTCAGCTGTTCTTTTGTCATTACTAGTATTGGCTCGAAAAAAAAGAAAGCAATTCCGTCGTTATGGTGTCAGACCCTTTCTAAAACAAAATAAAAAATATGGTCAGTACGAGAAACTGGTGAAGTACATGTTAGAAAATGACGAGGAGGAGTTTTTTAGCTATACCAGGATGTCTCCGAAAGTTTTCAAATATCTACTAATGGGGCTTTTGAAACCTGATCTAAAGAAACATCCTAGCCGGAAGAATGCTTTGTCACCAGAGTTTAGACTTGTGATAACCTTACAGTAAGAAAAATGTAGGCTTGAATTATAGTAGATATATATTCATTTTCCTTTTGTTGAAGCTACTTAGCAGAAGGAATGTCCATGAGGGAAATCGACAGAAATTTTGTCATTGGCAGATCAACAATTCACTACATCATAAAAGAGACCTGTGATGCAATTTGGAACATATTGATGCCAATATTCCTGCCACCCCCAACAGCTCATCAGTTTTCAGAAATTTCCAATGAATTCTGGAAACGTTGGAACATTCCAAATTGTATTGGTGCTGTTGATGGTAAGCATGTTCTTTTGGAAGCACCAGCTCATTCAGAAACAGATTATTTCTCCTACAAGAAAACATTCAGGTAATACAATATAAATATTTATGTTTATCTTTTGTGAAATGTCTTACTTGGACTTATTTTCAGTTCAGTTTTGAGGGCTGTTTGTGACTCATATTATAAATTTGTAATGGTGGACATTGGTGCCCAAGGATCTATACATGATAGTACTGTTTTTCAAGAGTCATCATTTGGAAGAGCGTATTTGAGTGATAGGTTGCCAGTACCTCCTGAGAAAAATTTACCTGGAACTGATATTCCTTTGCCCCACTTTATTGTTGCAGATCAGGCCTTTCCTCTGAATGAATAAATTATGAGACCATATCCATCTGACCATCTTACTGAAGAACAGAGAATCTATAACTATAGGATATCTAGGGCTCGAAGGACTATAGAAAATACCTTTGGAATTCTTGTTCAAAGGTGGGGAATTTTAAAAACCCGAATGGCCACTGATATCTCTATGTGTGAGAGTATAACGAAAGCTTGTGTTGTCCTTCATAATTTTCTTCAATGTGATGAGGAAAGTCTTCCTCAAGATGAGAGGAGATATTGCCCTACTGGACTGATTGATCAAGAAGGACCAGATGGTACTATTATTACTGGTACATGGCGTCAGGGGACTAATTTACTGTCAGTTAGGAGATTGGGATTCAACAATTCCACAAGGAAAGCCCAGAGAAACAGAGAAAAGCTCTGTGACTATTTCAACTCAGCTATTGGAAGTTTACCCCACCAACAAGAGCTTGTATTGAAAGGATCTGTTCCCATTTGAGTGAAATAAGAGTTCTTCATGAATGAATTTACATTGATATTTTGTTCTGTTCTTCATGTATTGAAAATCTTAGTATTTCATTAAATAACCAAAGGAAACACTTTTTTTTTCAATGTTAAATTTTCTGGGAAAATCAAAATACTTTGTTAAGAAAATAATGTAATTCCTTATACAGGGTGTTTCATTGGGAAAGGTAAATAATTTTACTGTGGATAGGAGTTACTGGGGTGATTTCAAAAAACCCATGGTTGATGGGTCTTCGACTTCTCATATCCGAGATACAGGATGTTTCATCAATTTTGTCCATATCTTCATTGTCTCATAACTTTCCAACCAAAATGTATATATTTTTGAAAATTGGTACACTTGCTCAATCTATCCTGTGGAATTGATTGAGGCAACAACAAAAGATAAAATGCATGTCCGGCATCACTTAAAATTCACAAATTCTCTCTGCCAGAAAACAACACCCTATACATTCGAATTTCTCATTTTGTTTGCCATATCTGAAAAGAAAATCAAAATTTCTATTAAACGATGTACTTTTTATTCGTGCACAGACGATTCTAACTATTCATATTATGTGCTCAAAATATTATTTTTGCTCATTTTGGGGCACAAAATTGGAATCAGACGACATTTATTGATTTTATTACTTCCTTTTCAGTATTCGTGAGTATTACATTTAAAAGGAATATTTCGTATCGTTCTTTGTTCCAGACTTAGTTGCAGGTCCGTCATCAAAACTATACAGGGCTTTTCACGATAAGCGTTAATTAGATGTTTCTGGCAAACCAGGCAACGGATAAATCTGAAATTTCGATGGTATGTATAAATTAACATAATCTACACTACTGAAATATTTGAAACGATCCGGCCTTGCCGCTTTTACTAGAAAGTAGCAGCAACTTCGATTTTTCAAATGGGACACCCTGTATTTCATTACATTCTTGGATTATTGCTGAACAGCAGAATTCATCGATTCAAAACATTCAAGGTCTAGCGGGACTGATAACTGAGATATAGGATGTGGTAAATCGAGATGTTTCAACTTTAGAAATGTTTTGTGTTGAAACTATTTATTATTGCATGGTCAAAACGGCTTCAATGTCCCTATCTCAACTTTCCATTCGATATTCAATTGAAACAGATACAGGGTGGTGCAGAAATCTGAATTATAAACCATCCTGTATTTGTTTCGATCAAATGTCAATAGATACAAAGTTAAGATAGGGACATAAAAGCCGTTTTGATCAATAATACATATTTTCGCAAAATAATTCTAAAGTTGAAACATCTCGATTTTTCTCACTCTAAATATCTCAGTTATTAGTCCCACTAGACCCCGAACTTTGTGAATCGATTAAATCAGCTCTTCAGGAAGCATCCAGAGTGTCCCATTTGAAAAATCAAAGTTACTGCTACTTTCGAGAAGAAACGGCAACGCCGGATTGTTTCAAATATTTCAGACGTGTAGATCATGTTAATTTATACATACCTTCGAATTTTTAGATTTATCTGTTGCCTGGTTTGCCAGAAACATCTAATTAACGCTTATCGTGAAAAGCCCTGTATAGTATTGATGACGGACCTGCAACTAAGTCTGGAACAAAGAGCGATATGAAATACTCCTTCTAAATATAATACTCACGAATACTGAATTGGAAGTAATAAAATTAATAAATCTCGTCTGATTCCAATTTTGTACCCCAAAATGAGCAAAAATAATATTTTGAGCACATAATATGAATAGTTAAAATCGTCTGTGCACGAATAAAAAGCACATCGTTGAATAAAAATTTTGATGTTCTTTTCAGATATGGCAAAAAAAATGAGAAATTCGAATGTATAGGGTGTTGTTTTCTGGCAGAAAGAATTTGTGAATTTTAAGTGAAGCCGGACCTGGATTTTATCTTTTGTTGTTGCCTCACTCAATTCCAAAGGATAGATTGAGCAAGTCTACCAATTTTTGAAAATATATACAGGTCGTTTGGAAAGTTATGAGACAATGAAGATATGGACAATATTGTTGAAACATCCTGTATCTCGGTTATATGAAGTCGAAGACCCATCAACCATGGGTTTTTTGAAATCACCCCCGTGACCCCTATCCACAGTTGAATTATTCACCTTTCCCAATGAAACACCCTGTATAACAGCCTATGGCAACAGTCTCATATAGTTAAGTAGGTATCACAAAATTAAATAAAAACCAAATGCCAGGTACTTCATTCCTACATTTAAAAAACAAAAAATATAACAACAGCTCTTGTCTTCTTTGAGAATAACACTGATAAAAATAAGTGGTACAATACCTGTCACAAAAACAAACGGAAACTAAATGATATTCAATACCTTCAACATAAATATTTGAAAAAAAAACTAGTGATAAAAACAGCCTCTAATCTACTTCATATTTTTCTAAAACCTCACAAATTTCTAGTTTGACCCTGGCTTTAACTTTTCTGCTTTTCAACAGTTTGAGGCTACTGGCAATACATTTTCCAAATAATGTGTCTTCATCGTCTACATCATTGGAATTTGTATCCTTCAAGATATTTTCCATCATTCCCAGAGTTGACACAATGCTATCCTCAAAACTGGATGAATCATTCTTTCTTTTTTTAAAACGTTTCATTTCATAAATGTTATCCTTATGAGACTTAGACACCTGTGGTGTATTGAAAGAAGTCTCTTGTGATTTTGATGAAGAAGTCTGGGAGGAAGTGGGAGGTGATTTAGGGAAAACCACGGATTGTTGGGAGGATGAAGAAGCTTATGTGGACATGAAATCCACCTCAACACTCATTTCTTCAGTTACATTTTTTATTTCTTGTTGAGATTGTTCAGTTTCTGACAGATTCATTTCCTCTGTTGATGGTTGCAGCATGCTACTTTGGGAGCTATTTTGTGTCAGTTCAATATTCCCATAGGTCCTATAAATATTCAATTTTTGAGTTTACATGATAATTAGTACCTCAATAACTAATATTACTTTCTGACTGTTACATGCTCTTCCAGGAAGGACATTTGCTTGAAATAGCGCCATTCTGTTGTTGCTGCACTTCCTGTAGGAGTGTAACGAATTTTCCTTCTTTCCGTCACAAATCGGTTCCTCAAAGAAGTCCAAGCAATTTCAACTTCCTCTCCTTTAAAATGAAATAGTTATACTATGTGATGAGGAGGAAATGATTATTAAACTCAACTTGTGTGGCCCATTATTTCAGCAATTGTTGTCCAAGCATTGATTTTGGCCAGTTTGTTCTTGAACTCCTTGTGCTTCTTATCATATAAATGCTTATATTGCTGCACCAATTCGATCAATGTTCCTTGATCCATTTTTTTTTATTATATAAAGATAAACACAAAAACAATCTTTCGCGCTGCTTTCGCGGTAGTTTTTCTAGGTTATTTTCACAAATTCACAACCACAGATCAACACAAAACAGAACAAAACATACATAAAACCAGTCAGGACCAGAACATAGAACAGAACTAATGAAAGACAGGTCCTTCGCGCATGCGATTTGGTCATCTTCACTAACAATATAATGTAATGTAAATTAATAAGTTGAATGTTGGCCTACTTCTAAATGTGTTAGTGTAATTTAAATGCATTAATGCACTTGCATGAACGCATTCTATACTAAACCGAGTAGTGAACTTTTCTTAATGAAAATGTAATGATAATGTAATGTTAATGTAATTATAATAAACGTTGCATGAATCGGCCTTAAATGTGAGTATGACTCAAACAAGCTATTCACCTGTGCTGTGCAGAATTTGTTTTCAAATTATTCACTTGTTTCAATATTGTTTCTAGGTGTAGTGCCTTTTAATGCCTATCACAGTTGTTTGAGATGTAGGTGAGTACTATAACCAGCAAAAAAGAATGAGTTTTCCTCAAATAGACTGCCCACTAAGAAGTGATGAAGAATTCAGGACAAAAACTGATGCCAATCATCACCAGAAAAATCAAGATGAAGAATTTATTATTTCCCCTTTAGAACAACTTCCCATAGATATGATTCGAGACATCATAATTGCAGATTCCTTACACCTAGTACATTTGGGACTAATCAAAAGATGTCTTAACTATTGGGTACATGGCTGTAAAGATATTCAAGTAAAATTTTTCAATCACCAAATTGATGATATTTCTGCATGGCTCCAGAAGTCAAATGAAAGGATTCCTAGTGAAATTCATCGATCAGTTACAAGCCTAAGTTGTCTATCTTTTTGGAAAGGTGTTGAGTACAGAACCTTTTTGTACTATCTTGGGCCAGTCATTCTGAAAGAAAATTTGCCCAGTGAGCTTTACAATCACTTCCTATTACTTTTTTGTGCAGTTTTGCTATGCTCCTGTTCATGTTTTTCTGTAAAACTTGATCTAGCTGGAAAAATGTTTAAAGACTATATTGAAGGTTTCATTAATATTTATGGTATACATGCAATTACCAGTAATATTCTCTGCCATGTAGTAGAAGATGTTAGACGTTTTGGACCACTAGAGAAGCTCAGTTCTTACCCATTTGAAAACAAATTGGGCATGATAAAAAATCGTCTGAAAAGTGGCTACAGACCATAAGCACAAATAGCTAAGCGAGAACTGGAATCCAAGAATCATCCAGTAAATTTACATTCAAATGAACAATTTTCTTTGAAGTATAAAATTTTAGACCCACACCAAAAACCAGCAGATGTTAATTTAGCATTTAAAAAAGTGTTACTGAAAAATGGAATATGTTTTGCAGCTTATGTTAAAGATCAATGGATACTTACTAGAAACAATGAAATACTTAGAATACATTGTATCTTCGAAACCAACAATGATTTAATATTTTATGGATCCAAAATAAAAAATTATTCAATTTTTTTGACTATCCGTTCCCTTCATCTAATGTAAATATATACTTTTCTAAGGAAATTTATAGTGAAAATATTAGTATAAAGGAACAGGAAATAAAGTGCAAATTGGTTAGCATGAATTATAAAAATCAATTAGTTTTTTTACCACTCGTTCATACTTTAGACATATTCAATAAATAAAAATTGTATTGCTACAAAAGTGTTTGCATTGTTATTCTTTAGCCAAAATGATTCTCTTGCCTTGCTTTCAAAGAGTCATTGAAAAATTGTACAGATACATATTTTCATAAATAAAAATACATGTTTTTGAATTTTGTTCTTATTTTTATATTGCACCAATCTATATGAACCATCTACAGAATATTTCGTTGAGAAAAAAATATTTCACATTAAAAACTAGAGTTTATCTGTTCTTAAAATGTATAAAAAAAGTAATAGGTGATGTTTTTTATTATTCAACAGCAAACGATTGAAAACAAACTAAATGTTTGATCAACTAATAAAATGAAAAAGTTTAATCAAGAAATTATTTTTATTAATATATATTACTGATAGTTCTTTAAAAGCTCCCCATCCTCCTCCACTACAAAATACTCATACAATTCCTCTTTATCAGAATCCACAGAATTGATGGTTTCCTCATTTGCTTGTGGCTCTTCTTGGGTTTCTGTCACAGGATATTGATTTTCCTCATTTTCTTTAGTTTCCTGGGTTTCTGCTAGGGCCTTGACTTTTTTATTTAACTTCAAGCGTGTATTACTATGTTCAAGTATACAATCACGAAAGAAACTATCCCTTCCTGGGTATGTAAAGGAATTGTCTGATTTGAATACTACATTATAAAATATGTCCAAAGTCCCAGTTAATCTGTTGAAGGCTTTTTTCTCTAAGCTTCTACTCATACCAGTCCATGAGTATTTAGTGAGTAGCTGTTTAGTGAACAATGCCTGCCAACTTGTAGCAAGCTGTTTAAGATGGCAGTGCTGATCCAATAGATCTGGTCAGGTGGGCGAAAACATTTTTTTATAGGCCTTGTCCTCCAGATCTGTCTCCAACTTTTCTAAGGCAGGTACCCTGTCAAGTGGAAATATTTGTAATTCATTTTCCGTAATAATCAAGGTAGATTCCGTTATCTTCAATATAGTGTCAAGATTGTCAAGACGCACAGAAATATCAGCACACTTCTCCACTATTTTTTCCACTATTTTTTCTTTACCTAAAACAAGGAAAAATATGAATGCATACTTATATAGATTTGTTATACACTGATTGAATTCAACTCTTGTATGGTGGTTGAGTCATCATTTGAATACTCACATTCTTTCAAGTCTTTAGTTAACTTGTCCACTTCAGATTTAAGTATGGACAGCTTTTCCAGAACATCAGAGTCATTGACAAATGTATTTTCATCAGATTCACTGATTCCAGCATCAGAGCTTACTGATATAGTTGTGGAGGTTAGTGTTTCAGAATCTTGGGGTACACATTGATGTTCTATTGGTTTTTCTACTGTCTTCTGTTTATTAAAGTTAAAATCATAAGCAGGCAGTCCAGATATATTCTTTTTAAGGACGCTTGTTCTTTTGTTGGAAGTAGACAGAGATTTTGATGGAACTATTTTTCCTTTTTCATCATCTGTGGTGCTGTAGTCAGATGAGCTGTCTTCAAGTGCACATATTTGGTCTGCCTGGGCAGAAGCGTGCATATACAGAAGTATATTACTGGCTTTTACCAAACAATCATATTTTTTCCATGTTTTTTCATCTGGTATACTACCAGCGTTGGACTGTTGTTGCCGAACTTGCCCCTTTGTAGGGGGCCAGTATACTGTCCCATTTTCTTCCCATTGGTGGGGTATCGGTTCTACCTCTTGAGTGCTCTTTATATAAACCACTTTGAAATTTTCAGCCATACGGGATAATTTCTTTCTTTTCGGAAAAAATAAACAATATGGTAAATAAGAGCGGGTTTATACAGCAAATAAAATAAAATAAGGAATAACATAAAATAAGAGGAGGAATAAGAAGTAATGGTAGTAGTTTATACAGGACTTCAAAACAAAATAGCAATTAAGAAACAACCAATCAAATCACGGTTATTGGACAATGACATATGTCATTTTCTGATAGTTGATAGATGACAAGTGACAAATATGAATTGAGAATTATTAAAAAAATCTGATCATTTTGATATCAGAAATATAAATAATCTTATCACAAATTTTGCCAAATTGCGACTTGAATTTGAGTATAAAGATAAAATGGAGGATGGTCTGTTGATAGAGCAGGTGTCAGGATTCCCACAGTTATATGCTAAATCAGACGCGAGGTATAAAAACAATCGTCTGAGGGAGAACGCATGGAAGACCATTGGAGTTATCTTGGAAGAGACACGTAGGTCCAAAAATCTTAAGGTGGGATTTTTAGTAATTTTGTTCATTTTATAGCTGAGGCATGTGAACACCGATGGAAGATACTGAGAAACAAGTACACAGCACTTAGGAGGGAAGCCAGGCAAACTCCATCAGGTTCTGGGGCCACTGAAATAACTTGGCCATATTTTAAGCTGATGAGTTTCCTGGACCCGTATTTGCAGACAAGAAAGTGGGTATTGCATTTTAAAAATTGATCTGTCTATTAATAAAATACATTTATAGGTCGTTTTCCAATGTAAGATTAAAAAATGTAGAGGCAAATGAGTGGGACTCATTATCCCAAATGATAGTAGAAGATAATACAGAAAAAGAAAACAATTGCTCTGATGTTGAATCTGAACCCACTTGCTCATCTCAGAGTAATAGGGTACAAACACCAGTACAAACACCAAGTGGAAGACCAGCTGCTGCACAATCTCAGCAGAGAAAAAGAGAATTTGTTTCGGCAATACCCAGAAACACACTGCCCTCAAAAAAAGCTAAATCAGAAGTCCTAACAGAAAAAATGAGTGGATGTTTCGATACGTTCCAAAAAGTTTTGGAAAACAACATTTCAAAACCAGCAACAGCAAATAATGATGACGATGAACCTTTTGTGAGAAGTTTGGTTACAGATTTGAGTATATTCTCAAATAGAGATAAAATCATTATAAAAAGACAAATATATAATGTTGTTGCAGATTATCTTCTGTTAAAGGAAAATGATAATAATTGATGCATCCTCACACAATTCAAAAATTTTGTGATAGCTCTATAAGAAAGCCATGTTTCAGTTCCTATTTTGTGATACTCACCTAGATGTTTCTTGTACCTGGCAATTTTTTTTATGTTGTAAACTTGAAGAATGTTTGTTTATTTTTTCCTAAGGTTGTTTTTTGTACCTGATTTTTGCTCAAAGTACAATCTAGTTGAGTCTTCCCACTGTGCAAAAAAACATACTAGTAACGTTTGGTCGAAGGCCTATCGACATCTCAAAGACCGTCTTAAAGTCGTTATATGTCCACCAACATAACAATCACATTAGTGACGTTAATATAAAGTAGCAAAGTTTAACTTATGATATAGAAGGTTCGTTAAAAGTAACAATGTCACATAGTTATGTTATTATGACGTACAAGTGCTGTGTTCGCAGAAACGTCGCCGGGGATACAATATTTTAACGTTAATGAACCTCCTAAGGATGTTTCTTGCTCAGTGGGTTTAGTTTATTTTTTAAATTTTGTACACTTTAAGAATGTTTTTGTTTATTCTTGCCAAAAAATGTTCAATTCTAGTTAATAAGTCTGTTCATTCTCACTGGGTATAGATAATGAATAAAAATACTATGTGAATTTTTCAGTTTTATTTATTATATCAAGGATAAAAATGAATTGTCAAGAATGAATGGAATTCAACTCCCTAACTCTAATACTAAATGATAATTTTCAGTAACAAAATGATATTTCTATTTTTTAATAACATCATCCAGTGGTGAAACAATCTGGTGCACCTCCTTGGTGAGGTGAAGCTCCCTGTTCAGAGACCAAATAATCTGCCAATGAATCCCTCAACACCATATTGGACCTTCCTGGATTGTTGGAGGCAACACGCCCAACAGATACCATGGAATTTTCAAAATCATGTGTTGAACTATCTAGACCTGTAGGACAGTATCTCCTTTGATCTTGAGGGATGTCTTCCTCCCCTTTCTGAATATAATTATGCAGGACCACACAAGCCATGATGATTTTATCATATAGGTGAACATCTGCAATTATGGGGTTTCTTAAACGTCTCCATCTTTGAGCCAAAATTCCAAAAGTTATTTCAATCAACCTCCTAGCTCTAGATAGTCTCATGTTGAAAATACTTCTTTTCTCCACTATAGATATTTGCCTGGGTATGGCCTCATAATATTTTTGTGGAGAGGGAAAGCTTCATCTGCTACAAAAAAATGAGGAAACAATGTTGTTGTGCCAGGTAACATTTTTGGTGGGGGTATATCTAAAGTTGCTTTCAGTATCGCATTGCCAAAATCAGATTCACTGAAAATATAGGCATCATGATTTGCTCCCTCTCTGCCAATATCTACATAGGTAAATTTATAGTATGAATCACAGGCTGCCATGAGAACAATACTGAAAATGAAAAAAAAAATAATGAAAAATTTTGATTTTAGTGCATTATTGATTGTTATCACCTGAACGACTTTTTATAGGAGAAGAAGGTTGAACCAGATTTTTGTGGGCATTGAATAGTAATGTGTTTACCATCAATTGCTCCCAGACAATTTGGCATATTCCAACGTTTATAAAATCCTTCAACAATTTTGGAAAATTCTTGTCTACTTGGGGGTGCCAACACAATCGGTGCTAGCACTTCCCACAATATTTCACAGACTTCTTTGATGATACAGTGTACCGTGGTTTTTCCAATGAAATTGTTTCAGGCAATCTCTTGCATAGAACATCCTTCAGAAAGATAGCTTAAAATCATAGTGAAAAGACTATAGGGTCATCATTCACATATTAGAGGCAAAGTACTTACTGTAAAGTGATGGCTAAACGTTGTCCTGGTGCAATGGGAAGTTTACTAGGGTCCCTACTGAGATATGGTCCATTCAGTGTTAACAAGTGTTCAAACATTTCGGGAGACATTCTGGTGTATTTGAAAAACTGTTCCCGATCATTGTTTCTCGCATAGTTCAGTAGGTTTTCGTATACACTATTCTTCCAGTTCCTCAGGTTCATTGGACGTACTTTATATCGCCTTTTGTTCCTGAATATCGTCTTTCTCATAACGACTGCCGTGGATGATAGCAAAAGTAGCATTCCAGTCATTATTATTAAAGTATTATTAGTATTATTATCCATTTTAGAAACTTGTTTAGTAATCAGCAGAATTTGGCAAAATAAACAACAATATCATATAACCACAAAATCCACAAATCAATAATGACAACAAACTGACAAGAACTGAACAAGCAGTGTTGCCAGTATTTTATTAGAGTACGTCGCCAGAAGTCCTAACAGAAAAAATGAGTGGATGTTTCGATACGTTCCAAAAAGTTTTGGAAAACAACATTTCAAAACCAGCAACAGCAAATAATGATGACGATGAACCTTTTGTGAGAAGTTTGGTTACAGATTTGAGTATATTCTCAAATAGAGATAAAATCATTATAAAAAGACAAATATATAATGTTGTTGCAGATTATCTTCTGTTAAAGGAAAATGATAATAATTGATGCATCCTCACACAATTCAAAAATTTTGTGATAGCTCTATAAGAAAGCCATGTTTCAGTTCCTATTTTGTGATACTCACCTAGATGTTTCTTGTACCTGGCAATTTTTTTTATGTTGTAAACTTGAAGAATGTTTGTTTATTTTTTCCTAAGGTTGTTTTTTGTACCTGATTTTTGCTCAAAGTACAATCTAGTTGAGTCTTTAGTTTATTTTTTAAATTTTGTACACTTTAAGAATGTTTTTGTTTATTCTTGCCAAAAAATGTTCAAATCTAGTTAATAAGTCTGTTCATTCTCACTGGGTATAGATAATGAATAAAAATACTATGTGAATTTTTCAGTTTTATTTATTATACCAAGGATAAAAATGAATTGTCAAGAATGAATGGAATTCAACTCCCTAACTCTAATACTAAATGATAATTTTCAGTAACAAAATGATATTTCTATTTTTTAATAACATCATCCAGTGGTGAAACAATCTGGTGCACCTCCTTGGTGAGGTGAAGCTCCCTGTTCAGAGACCAAATAATCTGCCAATGAATCCCTCAACACCATATTGGACCTTCCTGGATTGTTGGAGGCAACACGCCCAACAGATACCATGGAATTTTCAAAATCATGTGTTGAACTATCTAGACCTGTAGGACAGTATCTCCTTTGATCTTGAGGGATGTCTTCCTCCCCTTTCTGAATATAATTATGCAGGACCACACAAGCCATGATGATTTTATCACATAGGTGAACATCTGCAATTATGGGGTTTCTTAAACGTCTCCATCTTTGAGCCAAAATTCCAAAAGTTATTTCAATCAACCTCCTAGCTCTAGATAGTCTCATGTTGAAAATACTTCTTTTCTCCACTATAGATATTTGCCTGGGTATGGCCTCATAATATTTTTGTGGAGAGGGAAAGCTTCATCTGCCACAAAAAAATGAGGAAACAATGTTGTTGTGCCAGGTAACATTTTTGGTGGTGGTATATCTAAATTTTCTTTCAGTATGGCACTGCCAAAATCAGATTCACTGAAAATATAGGCATCATGATTTGCTCCCTCTCTGCCAATATCTACATAGGTAAATTTATAGTATGAATCACAGGCTGCCATGAGAACAATACTGAAAATGAAAAAAAAAATAATGAAAAATTTTGATTTTAGTGCATTATTGATTGTTATCACCTGAACGACTTTTTATAGGAGAAGAAGGTTGAACCAGATTTTTGTGGGCATTGAATAGTAATGTGTTTACCATCAATTGCTCCCAGACAATTTGGCATATTCCAACGTTTATAAAATCCTTCAACAATTTTGGAAAATTCTTGTCTACTTGGGGGTGCCAACACAATCGGTGCTAGCACTTCCCACAATATTTCACAGACTTCTTTGATGATACAGTGTACCGTGGTTTTTCCAATGAAATTGTTTCAGGCAATCTCTTGCATAGAACATCCTTCAGAAAGATAGCTTAAAATCATAGTGAAAAGACTATAGGGTCATCATTCACATATTAGAGGCAAAGTACTTACTGTAAAGTGATGGCTAAACGTTGTCCTGGTGCAATGGGAAGTTTACTAGGGTCCCTACTGAGATATGGTCCATTCAGTGTTAACAAGTGTTCAAACATTTCGGGAGACATTCTGGTGTATTTGAAAAACTGTTCCCGATCATTGTTTCTCGCATAGTTCAGTAGGTTTTCGTATACACTATTCTTCCAGTTCCTCAGGTTCATTGGACGTACTTTATATCGCCTTTTGTTCCTGAATATCGTCTTTCTCATAACGACTGCCGTGGATGATAGCAAAAGTAGCATTCCAGTCATTATTATTAAAGTATTATTAGTATTATTATCCATTTTAGAAACTTGTTTAGTAATCAGCAGAATTTGGCAAAATAAACAACAATATCATATAACCACAAAATCCACAAATCAATAATGACAACAAATTGACAAGAACTGAACAAGCAGTGTTGCCAGTATTTTATTAGAGTACGTCGCCAAACTGACAGCCTGATGTCGCCCAAATCGCCCAACTCGCGGGTAATTCAAAAGTGGAATAATATATTTCACAATTCACATTTTGTATGTACCACCTAAATTTCTCATTCTGTAATTTTTGACATTATCATAGAATGAAAGTCAAATGATAGTTTAGATATTATATAACTTCATATTACCTGTAGATAAATATAAAAATTATTTTTTGATTAAATATTTTATTCAATGAGAAAATAAACAAATAAAGTAACAACATAAATAATATTCTCAGGAACATATTTTCAGGTACAACAATATCCAAAGTCTAAGCAAAAGGTACATATTCTGTAATTAATTAGACCTAGAGATCAAACAGTTCCATTATCTCATCGACATCTTCAGTCTCATCAATTGATGTGGAATCATAGATTTTGATTATTCCATCTAATCAAAAAGCTCAAACATTTTATCTGTAGCTTTGAAGTTTTTGCAGCAGCAAATTTGATTATTGGA